AGGGGGGGTGTCAGGGCGGCAGGGACAGTGCCCACGGTGGCCCAAGGGGGTGGCACTGGCCAGGCAGAGCTCTCGGGTGTGGAGCAGTGTTGTCCCCTCTTCGTGCCTGTCAGATCCCTGTCTGCTCAATGGGCGCAGCCCCTCCCCCAGCACCTGGTCTCCTGCTGGTTCTTCTCCCAGAGCGGGGGCCTTTGTGGCTGGGGCTGGGCCCTCCCCATGAGAGCCCCTCCCTGGGAGGCCCTGGCAGGAGAAGAGTGGAGCAGTCGCAGGCTGCCCAGCTTCACCTGGTGCCCGCGCACGGCGCCGCTGGATCCTTGGCCGCTTGCCTCTCTTGGAGCCGGCTTGGGTCTGAGTGGGTGGTCTCTGGCAGTGGATGAACTGGCTGCGGCTGCAGGCCACTGTCATGGGGGCGCCTGGGTGGTGGCCCCGCTGGGAAGATGCTGCCCCTGCCCCCCTGTGGGATCTTTGGGAAGCCCGAGGTCCTAGTCCTCGGATGGAGCCTGCGGTCAGGCCCACCCTGCCCGGGGAAGGGCACCTTCCCGGGTCCTGGACTTGGACATCTGCCTGCAGCTGGCCCCCTTTTCCACGGTGGCTGTGGGGCCTGGTGCCCTGCAGGGGTGAGGCCACCTCTGCATCCTGTCTCTGCCGGGCGAGTCTTCCCCTGCCAGGGCTGTCCGTCTGGCGTCGCTGGGCTCGGCCTGGGTGCCTGTTGGAATGAGGACAGCCGTGAGGCATGCTGGGGCGGGGGTGCCCACCTGGAGGGTCAGAGGGTTGGCGGGGCTTCCTGGCCCTGGAGCCTGGCTGTCCTGCAGTAGCTGCTGCCAGCTTCCGCCCCTCCCCTAGCATGTTGCCCACCTTTGGGCATCTTTCCCTGAGTTGCCCAGTTTGGAACATTTCAGGGAATTTTTAGCTGATTCCTTGACGGGTCCTTCTGCCTCAGTTTCAAGCAAACAAGCCCATTTTGGGGCTGCATGGGAGGCAAGGACTTTTCTGAAGGAAACAATACAACCAGGAGAAAGGCCAGTACCAGGCAGCAGTGGGACACAGGAATGGCGTTGGGGACATGCCTGAGGCTCCAGGGGGAGCAGATCATCCTCCAAAGAGGAACTCAGCTCCTAAATGAACCAGCCGGTTGCCAGGAAACGCCGTGAGGTCGCGCCACCCACCTGCCTGCCCAGCCCTGGAAGCCGCAGAGAGGAGTGGACTGGGGTGGGCCGCAGGATGGAGAGAGGAGGGGACCGAGGGCTGTCTACAGTCTCGGAGCCGAGGTGGGGAGTGGTCTCTAGGGCTGCAGCTGGTGCGGGGCCTCACGCCTCTGCCGAGGGCTGAGCGAGACTGGAAGCAGCTGGGAGCCCTTCGCACTAAGCACCTCCCCTCTCAGAACGCAGCACTCCTTGGAAGAGGCTGAGTGTGAGAGCTGACCTGGCCTGGCACAGCGGGGTCCTGAGTCTGCAGAGAATGGAGCAGGGATGTGTGGGAGACCCTCGCACTGGCTGGGTGGCCCAGCCCCTTCCCGTCTGGCTCCTAGCACCTGGCGGCAGGTCCGAGGAGTCCTGCTGGGGACCCCCTGTGAAACTGACAGTGTCACCACAACCCAGTCGCTGCCTGGCTTCACAGGCATGTGAGCAGAACCTCCCAGGAGTGAGCCAGAGAGCAACATGCAGACACACTCAGACATGTGTGCCGACATGTAGACACACACACATATGCAGACACAAGGACACACACAGACATGCAGATACATGTAGGCACAGATATACAGACACAAGCACAGACAGACACAGACATGCAGACACACACACATGCTGATGCAAGCACAGACACACATGGACGCACGCAGACATGCGACAGACACATGCACAAACACAGACACACACGGACACATGTACAGATATGCAGACACACACATGCAGACACAAGCACAGACACACTCATGGACATATATAAAGGAAGAGAAAGAAAGGGATAGATGGGGATGACACAGAAGCTGAAGGAAGCCAGCCCACCCCTAGAAGACTCCTGGGGACGGAGAAGACACTGCACCCAAGAGAGCTGGATGCCACTGGACTAGAGAGTGCGAGAGAGCTCATGAAACTACAAATTCAGTGCAAGGGTCGGGATTCCGGAACTTGTCCAGAAAGGAGAGCACAGGAGGGGGTACAGGAGAGGAGCCCCACTGGAGCCACTGTAGGACGAGGGAGGTGGTGCCCAGCTGTGCAACGCTTCCCAGAGTGGAAGGCTGCAACCCTGCAGGCGCCTCCAGCCTCCCTGCCGGACGCCCCGAGCTGAAGGCAGAGCAGGCGGTGTCCGGCTGGGGGACTCCCGGAGCTCCACGCCTGGCCAACCAGGCGTAGAGGTGGGCAAAGGTCTCCAGACGTTCCCTGAGAGAAGTCCTGAGAATGACTCCCGCAGGAGTGAGGTGGCTGGAAAAAGGAGACCTGGTTTCTCTGTGCCTCAGTTTCTTTTTTTTTTTTTT